ACGGAGACTCCAAGCCTAAGTTGTAAATGTAAACAAAGGGAATGTCCACGGCGGGACGACTAAATAGAGCAAGGCGACTCCCATTCTAAGTTGTAAATGTTAACAGGAAGTTTGTTGTTAGTGGGTGGCTCGCTAAGACGTCGCATCTTATGCCTACGTATTCTCAAAGAGAAATCAGAGCGTTCGTAGTTCCCCTGGTGGGGTAAGGAACTCTTGACTGTGGTCAAGGTTCCAATGGGATGTAAGCATTCATAGGGAAGTACTTACATGGAGTGCGGCGACTCCTAAATCTAAGTTGAGATTGTTATGGTAAAGAATGTCCACGGCGAGACGCTAAACATGAGTACGACGACTCAGATATTAAGGTTAGGATAAAAGGGTAAAGGATGTCCACGGCGGGACGCTAAATGTGAGTACGGAGACTCAGATCCCAAATTGAGAAAGGTAATAGGAAGTTAGTGGTAAGTGAGCTCGCCAATAAATCGCATCTTGTGCCTATGTATCCTCTAAGAACCAAGAACACCTAAGACAGATAAGCAAGGGACATGCACAATAACAATAAGTCAATACACAGTCCCTTCCATTGGATTAGGTCAACAAGAAATAGAAGTAAAGCAACATGAACATGGAAGAAAATCAGTCACAAATATAATCAGGCAACAAACAGAATTATTAATCAATGTAAGTATAAATATTTAAAAAGATTAACTAATAATTTAATTAATCAAATTAAATACAATATTTAAATTAATTAATAATTACAACATATATTTTTGTATTTCCAAATATTTAACAATTGACTAAAAGATAAGTAATTACAAATCCATTTTTTTTGTCTTTCCAAATGATATACAAATTAAAATAAACTAAATAAATAAATAAAGTAAAATAAAAAAAAACCTGATAAAGATTAGATGAGGGAGTATTGTGTCTAGATGGAGGATGATATTTTATGTGAGGTTAGAGGTACCATGAGAAAAAGAAAATGTAGGTGGTGGTTTATTTTTGGGAAAATGAAGGTGAGTTATTCATATCATGGAAGATATTGTGTATGAAGGAGTGATGATAGAATATGGTGGATAGTGAATTTTTAGTTTATGTGAAAGTGTGATTAGGAAAAGAGCAAGAAGTGTGTGATTTTGTGGTGTGGTTGCTTCCTTTATATAGGTTGGAAAAGAAAGAAGAGTGTATGAGACTTATTTGACAAGTTTCAAAAAAGTAAATAATTTACGAGACTTATTTGACAAGTTTCTAAAAAATAAATAATTTATGAGACTTATTTGACAAGTTTCTAAAAAGTAAATAATTTATGAGACTTATTTAACAAGTTTCTAAAAAGTAAGTAATTTATGAGACTTATTTGACAAGTCTCTAAAAAGTAAATAATTTATGAGACTTATTTGACAAGTTTATAAAAAATAATTAAAATAAAAAATAAAAAATCAAAATCAAAATTTAAAAATTAAATATAAAATAAGAAAAGGTATTAACTAAAAAAAATTGATTAATTAAAAAATATGTTATTTAAAAGTATAAATAAAAACGGTAAAAAAACGAAAAAAATTGGACCGGTATCGAAGTGCTTAAAAAATAAAACGAATACACCAAAATGATCAGCGTAAAATATACCATTCGGAAAAATACGACGCTTTGTCAAATTTTGAAATAAATTTTACCCGCTAAATTGACTTAAACTGTCTAAAAATGCGACCGAAAAGTGGTCGAAAAATTTAAATGAGCACGTCAGGTTAAACTACGTGAAACGTAGATTAATAAGACTAACGTTTGCAGGCTCGACTTTAAATTTTTTTTGTCCGCTGATTTTTCACACAGTTGACTTTTAGTTTGACCGATTCGACTATAATTCTAACAAGTTTATTTCAGCTGATAAATTGGATATTATGAAAAATAATGGACATGATATAATACACAGGCAATGCAAAATAATATGAGGGTAAAATTTGGGGTATAACAGATGCTATATCACTTATTGGAAGAAAGTTCAATAAATCCTTGAGAAGGCTGGATAGACAATGTAGCAAAAATGTCCCAGACAAGAGGTCTTACATCAGTCCACTGAACAAGGGCAAAGGTTATCAAAAATCCAACAAAGGTAAAGGATCAAAATGTTATGAATGTAAAGGGTTTGGTCATATAAGAAGTTTTTTCTATAGATTGTATGGATATCCATAATCTTATAATCAACCTAGGAGGAAGAAAGGGAAGAAAACTCAAGATAAGAAGGTATGGAAGGCCAAGTAAGTTGTCACCTGCCTTTGAGCCCATACATCTCTTAGAGTTCCTTCAATAGAAGATTGATATTTTGATATTAGGTTCTCCAGGCACATGACTGGCGAAAGAATTATTTTGAAAACTTGAAGCTCTACACTATTAGTTATGTCACCTTTGGTGATGAAGCTATAGGAAGTATAAAAGGCATAGGAAAAATAGTTAGTTCAAGTTTTCCCTTTTCTTGATGATGTGTTATTGGTTGAAGGATTCACTTCTAACTTGATCAACATCAGTCAATTACGTGATCAAGGTCTGAATTTTAGCATCAACAAGTCTGAATGTATTGTCTCTAGCAAAGATCAAGAGGTTTTAATGAAGGGTTCAAGATCCAAAGACAAAAGTTATATGTGGATCTCTTAGCCCTCGTCCAAGATTAAGAGCATGAATGAGATCACATTTAAAGATGTTGTCAAAGAAGTGACAAAATTCATGGTTGAAGAAGACAAAATCTGTGGAGTATGTCAAATAGTCAAGATGTCACACAAGATGCTCTAGCATCCTACCTCCACTAAGAATCTCATGGAATACACATAAGTGAAAGGCCTTGATAGAAGAAATGACATCCTATATGTGAAGAATAATAAAGGAAAATTTCCTTATGACTTTGAGGATGGTATGTCAATCAAGATGTAGAAATATTATGTTCAACATTTTCATTGTGAAGTTAAGATAATTCTTCTACAATTTTTTACCTACTTTCTTAACCTACAACCAAAGATTTTAAGAGAAATTTGTTCCAAGACCTTTGAAAATGATTTGGATAAATTAATAAAGGTTGTAATTGGTATTTTCCTATGAAAATTAACTGAAGAGAATCATGTAAAGATTAAAGAAAAGTTTCTCTTTCCTGAGTTCATTACCGTATGTATGATAAGAAAAACCATTTCAAATTCAAACTCTTATAGCTACTTAATGTTCAATAATAAAAAGTAAGTATTTGTTTATCGTATCCGTAAGGACCAGTGCGATATCAATGTCGTTCAACAATTAATATGAATTTATGTACAAGTTTGAAAGATGTTTGATGGTTTATAGTTACAAAATGTAAATATATAAATGATAGATAATGTTTTAGAGATACGAGAGCCTGTCAGGATTGGATTTCATCCACTGATTGAATAAGTAGTTTACTGATCAGTTATACAAAATCTATATATTCATCAATATCTTCACGTATCACTAAAAAACAGATTTTATCTTTTAAATTCTAATGAGAGCTCGACCTTATTGTTTAATCAACTATTTCTCGGCCTATTAAGCAATAAGGTAGCATTAGGAGTCGATACTTGCGGTGAATGTTAAACCTAAATCTATATCTAACATTTAGAATCTAACAAATGTTTATCTTATATCAAGATTCGATGCGTATCTCTCAATATCAATTCCAATCTATAAAGTTAAATAGTGAAACAAAGATAACCTCGATATTAATTCATAAATAGATTGTATATAACTCCATGATCAATAAACATACATACTGTTATGGTGAACTAAATCCAATCCCAAAAAGAAATGGATTTAGCTACTCATGGTAGCTTGGTACAAAATGGAAGAATGAAGATGAATGAGCATCAAATGCGATTTCTCGACAATCTGATGCGTATCCATATTCTGTCCTTACCTTCACTATTCTCTCAATATTCTATGCTACTGCCTTCAAAAGATGGACAAAATTTCCTTACTAAAATGACTTGGCTACTATTTAAAATTTTTTCAAAGTATCATGACCGTGCTATAGCCCCTAGAAGTTGTGCTGCAGTGCGACCATATTGCTTGGCCTTGAAGATTTCTACAAACCTCCTTTGAGTTTAAGCCGCCATAGTGCGCTCTGCGTAAAAAGTCGTGTTGTAGCGCATCTGCGCTACAACAACGCGCTGTGCAACATAGCCCAACCAATCTCACTTCCTTGCTGCATGCGTGCTAGCAACACAACTCCACTTGAAAATTAATGGTCCAGGCTATTGTAGCGTGCTGCAGCGTGCATGTAGCACACATATGAATTCAAATTAAATAGGTAGATATGTTTAAAAAAAGATATTCCTCCATTTGAATTCGAATTAAATAGGTGTTATTTTATATATTTTTAATTGAGTTTTTTGGGGTGATTTTAGCCATTTTTTCTAACTCTGCATAATACTTTATTTTATATATTTTAATTAATTTACTTAACTAATTTTAATTTTTTTTTCTTTTATAAATATTTTAAAAAATAAGCAGAAGTGGTAGAAATTTTGTAGAATTAAGTTTATAATTAGAGTTATAGATTTTTATGACATTTAGTTGCCTAATTTAATTATATTTTTAAATCATGGAAGTGAATAAGAAAATGCGAGATAGGGATAAAAGAGAAAATAGAGTTTTAATTAAGAATATAATTCTAAAGATCTTCACATAAAAAAAACTATGACGTGGCATAGGAAAACATAAAAGATATAACAGTGCACATGAACACAATCATGTCTATGATCAAAGTCATCACATAGGAGTTGTACACAACTGATTTATTTTCTAAGATAATAATATTTATTTATGTTTATTTGTCTAGTATAAAGTAAGAAAATGAGTCCATGATGACTAAAGTTGTAGTACGAGTGAAAGTGAAATTTAAAAAATAAATAGTGCAGCCTAACATAAAAATATAACATGAAAAGATATATATATCACACATTCTGGAATGTGGTAACATGGAGACAAATTATAGTATAGAACTACACGTGAATTTGTTGTACACGATTATCTTCGGGATTAGAGCCATCACATAGGAGTTGCACGGCTAGCTGACCATTTATGCCACCTTTAGTTATTCCAAATACGGAAGTTGTCACGTTAATTGAACATGATTGTTTTCCACTACATGCTTTTTCAACCACTGTCACACTATGGCGTGATTCCCATTCACCTACTTGGAATGATCCACACGTTCCTTGTGGATCTCCATAGCTCGCAAACTGGATTTCTGAAATAGTTTTTCCATCAGGGCATTTTAGTTCTAAGGTTTTTCCATAATCTGTTCTTGCACATATAAAATCAATTGCAATTGTTTGGACAGACACATTAAAAGGGCTTCCACCCATTTCCTCAAACAAAACCAATGTGTTACTTTTTGTGTCATTATTTAAGAATGACCTTGGTACATGGTAAAACCTCTGAGATGGTTCTCCACAACCACTTAAACATTTATCAGCTTTATAATTTCCTCTATAATCACATTTAGTATCACATCCATTTTTGTCAGCTACCATTGTAGGCCAATACCTTCCAATACTTTGACCATTAATCCATGCATGTCCTTTTGTAAGGCCTATTAAATCCAAGACTACAGAGTCTTTACCTTCAGGGGTCTTAAAAGTAGTCTTGTACCAAGTCAATGGTTTTCCTATAACAATATTATCTATGTTCCATTGAACTCCATTATTAATTTTAGAATCATAGAACCTTCTAGCCTCGCCGTTTAATCCAACCTTGTATGACCAACTAGATTTTGATAAATCCAAAGTATTACTTGAATTGGTTGCAATGAGTTTCACAGGACCCCCAACAATCCCAGTTTCTTTCATATCAAATAATGCACCATAATTCGCATGACCAACTGTACCACTTAATAAACTTATAATGTTGGTACCTTGTTTCAATGAAACCATTTTTTCATATGTAAAACGAAGGTTATCATGTGTTCCCCACTGTGGGCCAATATATTCTCCATTAACATAGGCATGAAGAACATGGCCGGATGTGTTCACTTGCAAAGTTGCATTATTCCAAGTGAATGTTTCATTGATGAAAACTTTGGTCATGTACCACAAATAATCACTAGCATCAACGGTAACACTCTTTTGCTCTAGAAGTTGAGATGCATTAAATGTCCCTATTGCTTGTAAGGTGTCTTCCACGGGGTCAGATGCCCATGTCCAGATGAGTTGGTTTCCTAATTCTGTAGATAGTTTCTTCACATAAACACTTGTTTGTGCATCAACCTTTGCAGTGTTGAAAACTTCCTTGTTGCAATCTTGGAGAATAGACACTGACCAAGGGGGCACATAATATTTTCCATCTTGTTGTAGATCAACTTCAACATCCTTAGAATTATGTGAGTTACTCAAAAAACAAAATTTTTCTCTAGTGGCATTATTTGCATATGTAGTCAAATATACTGAATCTCCATATTGTTTCTCTGTAACTGTGCCATTAGTGAGAACCTTCTCTCCTAACTTTATGGCGGCATGGAGTTTTTTAAGATGCCCCCATTTTGGTTGGTTCAAGTTACCATATTCATCAAGTGGTGCATCATAGTCATATGCTGTAATAATATATGGACCACCCGCAGTTCTTCCAAAATTTGTTCCTCCATGGTACATGTAGTAGTTTTGGAGGACACCGCCCTTTTGAAAAAAGCGTGCAACTGAAAATGCTACATCTTCTGCAGTTCTGTGTGGCTTCCTTTCACCCCATTTTTGGAACCAGCCAACCCAATTCTCTGTAAACATTTTGGGGCTTTTAGGATTGTTTGGTTTGAAATCATCACAATAATAACCATTGCATGTGTTGATAATAGGTGATGGAGCATTGTTTTGCTTGCACATGATCCATGGGACGCCGACATTTTGAGCTAAAGCCATCTGGGCACACCATTTAATGTATGCATTCCCATCTTCTCCGTAATTATTTATGACATCTCCATATTCATTCTCAATTTGAGCTAAAATAATTGGTCCTCCTTGTGGTGCAAACAATCCAGCTTCTTTGCATAAGGTTACAATCTTTGTTGTGAATATTTTCATTTCCTCCTTAAAAACTACATTGTCAGTCCTCAGCTGAATCCCTGGCAAGTCGTGTAACCACATTGGGAAGCCTCCGTAGTTCCATTCAGCACAAACATAAGGACCAATTCGAAGCACAACATAAAGACCTTCTTCATGAACATTTTTTAGAAACTTGATGAAGTCTAGATTTTCAAAAAAATCATATTGGCGGCGAATAGGTTCGTGAAGGTCCCAAAATATATATGTTTCGATGGCATCAAGACCACCATCTTTTGCTTTCTTAATAAGATCTGGCCACATTTGTGAAGTGCTGCGCGGGTAGTGGATTGCACCAGATATTATTATTCTTCGTTCTCCATTGATGATAATGGCATTTGTATCATATTCAACTGTTGTTGCAAATGAGAAAGCACACAACAAAAGTGAATATACAATAAAAAAGAGCCTAATCCTAGGATTAAACATATTGTTTTGTTCTCTAAACATAATATTATTGTGTATCTTTTATAATCAACATGTTTTTATAGGCACAATTTGTTATTTTATTATTCTATTTTTAGTTTATTTGTAAGCCATGTATAAAATCCAACCAATTTGAAAAGATAGAGATTTGTGTCTATAATTAGCTTTCCTCCATACTTTAAAACGGTCTTTTGGTTATAAATTGTGAATTGTCATTTTCTATTGTAAAGGTTTGTTTCGTAAAAAGTAAAATAATAGTTGCCTAAAAGATCTTATCTTCGTTACATATTAAATAGCCATCTTATATTTGTACTCCTAAAAAAAGTCAAATTAGTAACACACATCCAATTTTGGTTATCATAAAAAAAATATACAGACAATTTTTAATATTTTTTGTAACAATAAGAATATATTCTAAAAAATATAATTTACAATATCATGAAATATTAAAGTTTTCAAATAATATCTAGAATTAGAAATTAAAATTATAAAAATAAATTTAAGTAATTTAAAGAAGTTATGGTTTATTCACAAGACAATTTAGTAATTTTACATATAATTAAAAATGGACTAATTATCCATAAAAAGTAATAAACAACTATTAATAATTATAAAAATTGGTAAAGTTGTACGATATTAAAAAAAACTAAAATTATATATACTTATATGATAAGAAAAGTTGTGTCGCATACTTGGTCTCTCTTGGTGGTTCCTGCCACTATTATCGCAGGAGAACTAAAAATAAGCTTTAAGATTTCAATTAATAGAATTGCAACCAAAGTAGGTATAGTAGCATGACCTGCCTTAGGCATACACTTAATCATATACCCTAACACTAAAGGGTCTTGTTTACATATGCTCCTTTTTTTAGCGTGACCTTCCCATATATAAAAAAAGGAGCATAGTTCACAAGTTTATAATAATTATGGCATTTGTAGTAGCCATAACTTCATATAACTAATATTACCCTTATTTTACTTCCACAATCATGATTTAGCTTCGCATGACCAACTATGTATCAACTTCTATTTGTATCTAAAGTTTGTTTGATTTAGTATGACGTCGTGGTCCCATTATATAGACTTATCTTTACTCGTATATTAGGATCCACTATACAATGATTGGCCTAGAGGTAATATATAGTAGGTCTACGTAGACATGAAAAGCTTATGATGACCAACAATTTCTATCCCACAACCAATAGGTGAGAAATAATTACATACATATGTCAAAGCCTTTGTAACCTTGAGTTTCTTGTGGGCCATGTGGACCGAGTTAGTATTTTGAAGCTATGATGATCTACCATCATCTTATTAAATCCTTTCATATTTAATCTTGCTTTGTATCTTATTTTGGATTTATTCTCTTCAAACTTTATCTTCTACACCTAATTAGTCTGAAGTTCTCTTAAGCCTTTAGTAATTTTATCTAACACAAATGGGTGATTCACATGCAAGGATTCCTATATTCATTCATGGCATTACAACTACTTTTCTTTATCAACATTTGAAGTGTCATCTTGGTATTTTTTTTTATCTTGACAATCAGTGATTGTCATATACTCATTTGAAAAAAAATCTATGAGAAATTTGACACTCTCTAGAAAACCTTATAAACTCAAGCTCAATCAATGGCACAAGTTGTGCCACTTCAAATGGGTCATCATGATAAGTTTCATTGTCATCAATATGATTTGTAGCATAATATTTTTCTTCTCAGTCTCATTAAAATATTCAAAAATTTGGTCTTCAATAAATATCACTTTCAAACTTCTTTTGATTTTATTGTCAACTACATCATATAATCTATAACCTAACACTTCATGACTATAACCCAAAACACAATATTTCAACCTCTTGTCAATATTCAACCTCTTACCTATTATAATGTGAACAAAAGCCTTGCCACAAAAACTCTAAAATAACCATAAGAGACATATTTTCTTGTCCACAAGTTGTTTGAGTCATGCCATCAAAGGAAACTAACGGAGAAATATTGATCAAATTAACTACAATTTTCACTACTTCACCCTAAAATGATTTCGATAATTTTGTTTGAGAGAGCAGATATCTAATTATGTCATTATTGGTAAAATTAATTATGTTTACATTTGTATCATGTTGGTGTGTCTTTGTAATTGTCTTCTAAAGGTTTATTTTATGCTCTATGCAATACTCTTCAGATAGACCTCTATACTCACCAATATTATTTGCTCTTACACATTTAATTATCATTCCTATTTCTTTTCACCACTTTCAAGACTGTTTTTTGAAGATACCAACTACACAGTCTTTGTATTTGAATACAAAATCCTACACTTTTCTAGATGGTTGTTAATAAAAAAAATAAAATATTAGGCACCATTAAGATATTCTCTATCTCTTGTGCAAACTTAAATGTAAAATATATCTAGAATATTTTTCCTCTTATGACAACCAAAATAGTGAAAAGGGACTTTAGGTAAGTTACAGTAAAAATGATAAGTGCTGGGTTTTAAGTGTGAAATTTTTACAAGACTTATTTCCTTGTAAGTATATTACACCCTTTCTCACTCAAGTGACAAAGTCTTACATGATTTAAATCACTAGATGCATCTTTCAATGCATCCACTCCCTCTTCGCATAACCTTACTTACATCTTTTAAATAATTTTTAAACCATGTTCTTCTAGGGATATATTTGTAAAATGAATCTACTAGGGCGATGGTCAAAGGACGCCCAAGGAGAGGTGACGATGAAATGTCGCCCAAAGGGATGTATCAACTCGCCCCCAAGGCATTCCTATCTCCCAGTCATGGGAAATGTGGGAAAGACGTTTCTATTGAAGATAGAAGTTAGGGTCATTAAGTGACCCACGTCCTCCTTAGAAGTAGAAATTCAACGACCCACCATTAACTGAGTGGGCGGTGACCCTTCCTAAGAGAACCCTAGGCCTTAAAACGCCTCTATAAATACACCTCCCTCATTGGAGGAAGGAACAAATATTTACACCCTAAGTATAACACTCAGACAGAGTATAACTCATATTGATCAGACCCCTCAAAAGCTTATACTTAAGCATATCATCCATCCATAGAGCCTCTCAGCTCACATGAACATGATTCTTAAAAATACCATAAAACACCATTGTACAAGGATTTTCGCTATTGTGGCCAAGCCTTAACCACCAAGTGTAATATACTTACTAAGGCCTCTAAGTCCCTCTACCATTGCAAGAGGAACACTCACACCTATATTTTTTTACTAATTGTCGCCCATCGCGGGGCCTCAGTAAAATTAACTTGGGCTACACTCCTACTTTAATTCCCTTCATCTTCCCTCTGAGGATGGCCGACAAAATACTAACTTACAACAGAAAAACCTTTTTTAAAGGATTTATCGGCAAAGGTAACTCCAGATCCTCCAAAATGAAATACGCAAGGCAGGTGTTTGCAGCAAATATAATATCCCCTGGCTTCCCCAGAAGCTCCATAGGGAAAACAGGGGTTAACATCATCTTCTCCGATAAGGACTCCTTCGGTAACAATCATCATAGTTTTTGTTTATTTTTGGATTTGCTACATTATGTAAAACAATTTTGTATGAGCAACATGGTATGAACATGGTTTTCGGATCATCTATTATCCTAGACGAAATTAAATTAGAAACCCAAGGGAGAAAAGCCCATAATTACATTGTTATTTAAGGAGACTCAAATATCATGTTTGAGGATGAGGGTGTGCGCTAGGATTAATTCTTTGTTCTAGGGTTTTTGTTGAGTCTTTATTTCTTGTATACCATGCTAATGCTATCATCAATATCATAAGGCTTAGTGTTTCATTGTTTTAGTTGAGATGTATTCAAACTTCATCATTTTTTGTATTGATGTTGATCACTTGGGATTTGTGATTGAGAGAAAGTGATAGGGAGTTCTCATATTTAGGGGGAGACCTAAATATAAAGACACTAAGGGTAGAATTAAGAAGAGGGTATTGAACATGAGGTTTGTTCATATAAGACACTTTGTACTAATTTTATTAAAAGAGTGGATTTCCTTTCTCGGTAAGAGTGCCCTCGAGATGTAGGTGTTGTTTTCACCAAACAAGGTTACTAATATCTTGTGCTATTTTATTTCTTTCACCTTGTTCTTATTGTTGTTGTCTTATTGTGTTTATTCTGGTATAACTAGTTGCACCAGTTGTCCTAACATCGTGTCCAACATTTGCCCACTGATGATCAAAATTTCAATTGGTATCAAAGCAGGCATGTTGTTCTGTTTGGATGAGCTCCATGGATGAATTTGTTTGTTCATATGAATAACACAAAGGATGAAGGGTCTATCAAAAGACCACCTATTTTAGATGGAACTAATTATGGTTATTGGAAAGCTAAGATGGCTTCCTTTCTTAAATCCATAGACAAAAAACTTGGAAGGCTATGGTAAAAGGGTGGAAACACCCTGTGATAGTTTCTCAAGATGGAACATCAAGCTTAAAGTTAGTAGCAGAATGGACTGATGCAGAAGATAACGATGCTCTTGGATGTCACAAATTAGGATTTGAATAATATTTTCAATGGGGTTAACAAGAACATGTTTAGATTTACCAACACATGTATTGAAGCTAAAGAGGCTCGAGATATTCTCAAGACTAATCTTGAAGGAACATCCATGGTTAGGATGTCAAGCTTGTAGCTCCTCACAACACGGTTTGAGAATCAGAGAAGGAAAGAAGACAAATGCATCTCTGATTTCAACATCAGACTGTGAGATATTGCAAATGCTTCCTTTGCTTTAGGAGAGAAGATGTCAGAAGGAAAACTTGCCATAAATCCTAAGACCTTTTTCCAAGAAGTTTGATATGAAGATTATCGCAATTGAAGAATCACAATACTTGAGCATCATCAAAGTTAATGTACTTTTTGGTTCTATACAAACCTTTGAGATAGCATTGAATGATATATCTACAAAGAAGAACAAAATCATAATTTTTGTGCCTAAAAATGAAGAGGATGAAGATCATTGTG